CCTGCCTAAGGCTTGCGGCATCTCTGTTGGTCTGTCAACAGAGATCCGGAAATAATGTGACACCTTAGAGAACGCAGGTGACAGTCCTACCTTCTCCCAAGGGAGGGTGTGGAGGTCTGAAGCCAGGCCAAGGCCCCCTTGTCCTGGAAGGAGTGGAGGCCAGGAAGCTACACCTTAGTGGAGTCGGCTGAAGCAGGTGGACTGGCAATGAATGGATGGATGGATAAACTGACTGACAGGTGGGAGGATGCAGCTGTGATGAGCTGTACTGGCCCCGCTGTATCCCTCACTACAGGCGCCCCTTCCTCCTACCTTTCCCTGACTCACCCCTAAATTTCCTTTTTGGGTAACAGCTGCTAACCCCCCTTCCCCATTATCCTCTCAAGAGCACTAGAGACCACACAATTGGCCCCTGAACCACTTTCCAAGCGGGAAACACTGAAGGCAGCAGTTGCCCTTCAGTCACAGAGCGAATACGGAGCCCGAGCGGGAACCCAGGTCCACAAGTCTCGCATTCTGGACTCTGCCCCCAGCCGGTACCGGGCGAGTAGTCCCTATGCTTGGTGGGACATTCCGCTCTCACGGCACCCCCTTCTCACAACGGATCATCCCCGCCCTCCCGCAGAGCGGCAATGGGCCATTCCACGGGCTCCCCCACTTCTCGTGGTGGTGGGTCAGTCCACTCTGTTCCCAGTTTTCCGGAGGATGTACAAGGTTCCTTCCGGGCTGCCGCCAGCCCCACGCGCTCACCTTTGACCTTGGCTTTTCGCCACCGCCGGCGATTGAGCTCCCTCGACTCCTCTTTGGCACTCTTCGAAGCCGGGGCCTCCGTAGCCCCGGCGGGCTCCGCTTCCCCGGATGACTCCATCAATTCTCCGCGGTCCTCACGCGGGGGCCAATTCTAGCGCCGGGCCCCGCTCCGAGGACCAATCCTGGCCACACAACCCCACTGGGCTACCATAACACCCAATCCTGGGCTCGCTCCGCTCTGGGTCCCGCCCCCTGAGCAATTCTGGCCTCACGCCACTGCCGGGCCCCGCCCCTCAACCGCAAGGGCTTAAGTTCTGGTCCCGCCCCCTCGTACGCATTAAAGGGCCCGCGGCCAACAAAAATGCACCCCTGGAGGCGGCGAAAAGCGTCCTTCGGGCAGGACTAGTGCGAAGCCCCGCGGGGACCATCCCAATGGGGAAGTCCCGATCTTCTCAGGTGATGGTGCTCAGCCTCGCAATCCCACTCACCTTCCCACGGCGGGATCCCCTAGAATGCGGCCTGGCCTGCCCGCTGGAAGGGGAGAGCGGGGCACCTGCTGAGCCTCCGCCAGGGGGCAGGGCGGGCCCGGTCCTGTGGCAACTCGAAGCCGGGGCGGGGCGCAAGCGCCGGAGGCGTGGCTGCGCCTGAGGAAGCCCCGCTCTCTATCTCCTGGTGCCCCAGTTGCTCTCTTTCACCAAGTTCTTTGTTTCCTCTGCCCTCACTACTCTCACCTACCCCACTGCGAGAATGGAAGGGAAGGAGAATGCTCGGCGCCTGCGCACTAGCTTCAGGCCGCAGCCTGGCCCGCGAAAGAGGAGCCGAAATAGAGGGAGCGCCGCGTGCCTGGGAAAAGGCGGGAAAGAGAGGAAGGCTCGAAGCTTGCGCATGCGCACATGGCCAATTGTCTTAGGGGCGCCTCAAAGGCAGCTTCGTCCGCATCTGCGGTGTGGTGTGGGCGTCCTTTGAGACTGAGCTCTGGTGGCCTAGAGAAAAACATCTCTTCATCTTCAACGCCAGAAAAAGCAGGTCTCAAACCCTGTCTTTGCATCCTGCCTCTCCTCCCTCCCTGTCAGAGCACACAACCAGCCCTGCACTGAGACTAATTACCCTCTTCTCAGCTCTGAGAGGGACGGCCCAGCCTTTCCGGGGGACGGAGACCACCACTGCCCAACCTCTGGACTCAGCTTCAGGATGGGGGCTGCGTCGTTTCTCCCACCTCCTTAGGCTACTTCAACAAGTTACTCTCCCCCCCAATTCCATGGACAAAACTTGCATTCCCCCCTTCTCCATGGCGGGGGTTTTGAGGCTAGAGAAGGAGGCTCAGAGCCTGAACACCACAGAACTGGAGCCTGCACCCCAAGGCCACCTTTGCCTGCTTCAGAGGAGCCCCAGGAAGAGCCGAGAAGGTGAGGGAGCGCTAAAGGCCAACCTGGAGTCTTGAGCCCGTCATCCCCTGATACTGCTCCCCCAACGTTCCTTTCATCGCTCCCTGACCTTGCCTGGGACGTTAGTGGCCCCCACGGCCCCTTTCCCAGGCCCCTCCTTCCTGAGGAGCCAGAACACAGCCAGCATGGCCATTCCACCTGGCTAGCCAGAGAGTCCCCCATGGGGGCTGCTTGGCAGGGGAGCAAGTGTCTTCCTGGCAGCAGAGGACACACCTAGTACACTCAGAGACTGTTAATGCCCCGATTTTCTGCCTAGTCTGCATTGCAACTCCAGGAGGGTAAGGTCCCCATTCAGCACCGTATTGCTGGTGCTTATGCCAGTGTCTGCCCTAGAGCTGGGGCTCAGTCAGTTTTTGTGGACAGATGAATACTGGGAGGAGGGCAGCTTTCCTGTTTTCCTGGTCCCTAGCCCCACAGGACTTTCCCTCCTCTATTTGATTTTCCCCAAATCCTCTGCAGGAAGGTAGCTTGGTGCAGGGGAGAAAGTCAGACCCTGGCTTCAAATCCTGGCTTTGCCACTTTTTAAATTTAAGGCCAGTGCAAGATCCTTTACTTCTTTATTTTTAGGCCTGAGTGTCCTCATCTATAAAATGGGGATGTTGATATGTATTTCACAGGATTGTTGAAGAGTGACCAGAGCTAACCTGATATACCGTAAATTTTTAGTATTTCTTACATGAATCAATGACTGTCCCTGAGAGGTTTCATTTCCTCCAGGTTCAAACTCACCTGTGTCCTGGTAGGGTCTGTGATTCTGGGCACTAGATTTCCTCCCATGTGGTGATGTCCCACCATACCGCGATATCACTTCATAACTCGGTTTCTTTTTGAAGGCTAGCTTCACGCCCTGGGCCACTGTTCCGTCCCTTGTGGCTAGAGGATCTGTCTCTGAAGATGATTGCACATCTGATTCTGAGTTAAAATCTGTGACCCACTCAAAAAATGCCTTCCACTCTAGGGCTGATGGCTGTGTGGATAGTTCCTGCAGTTTTGTTAGAAATCCCTGCTCAGTCGAATATTCCTGCCTGGATTTGGCTCCCTGGGTTGGAGTTGTTTGCTGGACTGTGGGGTCTGACTGCTCAAGTCTCTCTTGGCATGTAGATTCAATCTGGGCAGGTGTTCCCTTTTTGGGTCCAGGTTTAGCCTGGGCTGTAGGTGTTGATTCAGTTTCTTGTTGAGCTAGAGGTGGCTCCACTGGCCCAGGTCCTGGCTGGGCTATATGTCCCTCTCTCAGTTCTGGTTCTGGTTTAGTTGTAGATCCTTTGCCTGACCCAGTACCCTGCTGGGAGACAGCTTCCTGTTGAGTGAAGCACACCCTTCGGATGGGAGGTGATTGCTGTGGTACAGGTCCCTGTGGGGCAAGAAATTCCTGCTGTGAAACAGATTTTTGTTGGGTTCTAGGTTCCTGCTGGGATTCAGCTTTGGATTGGGTAAGGAGTTCCTGCTGGGTGAGGGGTCTTGGCTGTGAAGCAGGCTTCTGTTGGGTATTGGATCCCTGCTGCATCTTGGATTCTGGCTCTGACTGGGTTGTAGGTCTTTTGTGTGGCTCAGATTCCCAGTCTGGCCTAGATACTGTGTTAGAACCTGGCTCCACTGTGGTTATTTCCCTCATGGGAGGTGTTGATCTCCCAGTCTTCATTTTTCTGTGCTCCCCCTCAGGCCTTCCTCTTCACAGATCTTTCATTGATTCCTCATGATGGCATCTGCCTTTGGGTTCCACTCCTTCATCCTGGCATTCCTGGTCTTCCTTTTTAAGGCAGGTGGCAAATGGGCTGATCACTACTGGCCCCCACTCCTGTGCCACGTAGTGTACTCTATGCCTCTACTTTAGTGGGGAGGGATTGGGAATAAGAAGAGATTGTGTGCCCTGTACCCTTTTACCAGGGGGGAGGGGCTTGCCCTCTTGTGTCATAAATAGGGCCCCACCCCACTCACCACTTAGTTAAAATGTTTCTTCTCATAAGGTAAGCATCCCAATTTAGTCTTCTGTATCATCTGGGATGACAGAAGCCAGATTCTAGATGAGGGTTCCTTTTTATTCTCCCCTTGTGATGTTTGAGGAAAGGGTCATGGGGGAGGAGGTCTCTATAATTGTAATATATATTTCCTCTTTATTTATTCCTGCAAATGGCTGCCAGTTTACTCTCCTTATATTGTCACTCTGATAATTTTGTTCCCATGCTAAAAACAAAAAACAAAAAAAGTGATGACCTCCCATTTTTATAGCTTGAAGCCCTTCTGAATAGCATTTGAGATCCTCCAGACACCATCTCTCTAGCCCTGAACTATGGTTCTGCATGTATGTCTTTTGCACTGGATTGGAAACTCACAGAATACAATGACCATTGATGACAATGATGATGATAAGTAATCACAAACACTGGAGGCCACCTACATGCTAGGAAACTGCCAAGTTTTTCTTTTCTTTTTTTTTTTTTTTTGAGACAGAGTCTCGCTTTGTTGCCCAGGCTAGAGTGAGTGCCGTGGCGTCAGCCTAGCTCACAGCAACCTCAAACTCCTGGGCACGAGTGATCCTCCTGCCTCAGCCTCCCGAGTAGCTGGGACTACAGGCATGCGCCACCATGCCCAGCTAATTTTTTATATATATATCAGTTGGCCAATTAATTTCTTTCTATTTATAGTAGAGACGGGGTCTCACTCTTGCTCAGGCTGGTTTTGAACTCCTGACCTTGAGCAATCCGCCCGCCTCGGCCTCCCAAGAGCTAGGATTACAGGCGTGAGCCACAGCGCCCGGCCCAAGTTTTTCTTTTTAACCTTTATTATCTTTAATAAGACCATGTCTGATTCATTGCTATACTTGCTTTATTTGTCCCACATAGCTCTTACCTCAGAAAGGTTTGTTGAATGAGTGAAAGATTAACAAGTTGGGCAGTGGAGAGAGAGTGAAGGATATTGTAAGGAGTACTATGTGTAGAATCCTGGGTGGGGTTTGGAGTGAACAGGGTAAATTGGGTCATCTGGATTGTATGTGAATCCATTTGATAGAAACGATTTCGATCTATTACATTTAAATATATTTATTGACTTCGGTTTGTTAATTTCCTGATTATATCTAAGGTTAAGTGAGACCAGCTAGAAGCTAGGGTTTCCTGGATTCTTTCAGATAATTAAGCTTAAGCCTAGGTAAGGGGAGGGCATAGGAGAAAACTGACAAGAGAAGAAGGCACTAGAGGGAGCAATAATCAAAGTGATCTTGGGAAAAATGCCTTTTGAGAGCACTAGAATGATTTAGAGGGTGGGTACTGGGAGTGGGAGGATGAGGTGGGAGAATAAGAGTATCCTCTAGGCGTGCTCACTGCCTGAGAATGTGTAATTGGGAGTGTGTGCTCCCAGAGCTCCTATAAAGGCAGAGCAAAGCTTGCTAGCTGACATCGTTTGAGAAATTGTTGGCAGGCTCTGGAGTGCTTGTTTGGCTTCCTGTGGTGCCTTTGTTGTCCTAGGGTACAAATAAAGGGGAGAGGTTAGTGTTAAAAGCATTTTTAAAATTTAATTTTTATGAGAGCTTTTACAATTATAAAAATATGACTCGTCCAATGGATAAAATGAAAATTAAAAAATCCAGTAAAAAGTAAAAGCCTCCTTCCATCCCAACATGTGGAACCCACTTCTCAGAGCTAACCATTGTTAATAGTTTGCTACATATTCTTCCCTAACTTTTGGTATATATAAAATGTAATGGTTTACTTTAAAAAATAAAAATGAGATTATGCTATATGGATTGCTTTGCTTTGTACATTTAACAAATCGTTTATTACTGGAAAATATTATATATCTACAGAAGTTCATAAAAACTTATATGTGCCGTTCAATAAATAGTTATTTAGCAGATAATCATGAAACTACTACCTAGGCTTAGAAATAGAATATTGTCAGTAGCATCCCTCGTTTTCGGATCACTACCACCCCTCTCCTCCTCACAGAAGTAATCCTTTCTTTTATTATAATCATTTATTTCTTTTTAAATTGTTTTACCACATATATATACATTCCTAACTAATTTAGTTTTGCCCATTTTTGAATTTTTTATATTACTATATGCTATGGTCTGAATGTTTATATTTCCCCAAAATTCATATGTTGAAATCCTAACCCCCAAGGTGATAGCATTAAGAGGTAAGGCCTGGGGTGGGCGTGGTGGCTCACGCCTGTAATCCTAGCACTCTGGGAGGCCGAGGCGGGCAGATTGCTCGAGGTCAGGAGTTCAAAACCAGCCTGAGCAAGACCCTGTCTCTACTAAAAATAGAAAGAAATTGACCAACTAAAAATATATATACAAAAAATTAGCCAGGCATGGTGGCGGATGCCTGTAGTCCCACCTACTCAGGAGGCTGAGGCAGCAGGATCGCTTGAGCCCAGGAGATTGAGGTTGCTGTGAGCTAGGCTGATGCCACATCACTCACTGTAGGTAGCCTGGGCAACAGAATGAGACTCTGTCTCAAAAAAAAAAAAAAAAAAAAAGGAGGTAAGGACTTTGGGAAGTGATTAAGTCCTGAGGGTGGAGTCCTCATGAACAGATGAGTCCCCTTATAAAAGAAGCTAGGGAGCTACCCTCACTTCTACCCTGTGAGGGTAGAGTGAGAAGACTCCTGTCTATGAGGAAGTGGGCCCTCACTAGACATGGAATATATAGACACCCTGATCTTGGATGTCCCAACCTCAAGAACCGTAGAAGACATAAATTTCTGTTGTTTAAAACCACCATCTATGGTATTTTGTTTTAACACTGCAATCAGACTAAGACAGTATGTGAAATCATACTGTAGCTATTCTCTCATGTCTTGTCTTTTTTTTTTTTACTCAGCATTATGTTTGTAAGATTCATTTATTTTGTTACATGTTTGTTCATTCTCATTGATATATAATATTCTAATATACCACAACTTATTTATTCATTCTTCTGTTGGTGGACATTTGGTCAGTTTTCAGTTTGGGGCAGTTATGAGCAATGCTGCTATGAAATTCTTGTACATGTTTTCTTGGTATACATAAGCATGCATGCATTCCTTTTGAGTAAATGCGTAAGAGTGGTAGTCAAAGAGTACATATAACTTAAACTTTAGTAAACAGCTGCCAATACTTTTTCAAAGTGATTTACTAATTTATACTCCCATTAACAGCGTATAAGAGTTTCTTTGCTCTACTCTGCCAGTAGTTGGTCTTGTCAGACTTTAAAATGTTTGCCAATCTGATGATTATATGATGATATCTTTTTTTGGTTTTAATGCACATTTTCCTAATAATAAGGTTGAGTGCCCCTTCATATGTTTATTAGCTATTTGGGTTTCTTCATCTGTGCAGTGGCTATTCAAGTCTTTAGCCTATTTGTCTATTGTAATTCCTGCCTTTCTCTCACTGATCTATAGGAATTTTTTTGAGACAGGGTCTCACTCTGTCACCCTGGCTAGAGTGCAGCGGCATAATCATAGCTCACTGCAACTTCAAATTCCTGGGCTCAAGTGATCCTCCTGCCTCAGCCTCCTGAGTAGCTGGGATTACAGGTATGCACTACCATGCCCAGCTAATTTTTTCTATTTTTAGTAGAGACAAAGTCTTGCTCTTGCTCAGTCTCAAATTCCTGAGCTCAAGTGATCCTCTTGCTTCAGCCTCCCAGAGTGCTAGGATTACAGGCATGAGCCACTGTGCCCGGCCTATAGGAATTCTCTATATATTCTGAATATTAATCCTTCATAGGTTTATAAATGTTGCAGGTATCATGTCTTACTCTGTAGCTTGCCATTTTATTCTTTCGATAATCAAAATTTATAAATTTCAATGAAGCACGATTTATTTAATCTTTTACTTCATCATCTGTACATGGTTTGTACATTTTTTTTTTTTTTTTTTGAGACAGACTCTCAGTCTGTTGCCCGGGCTAGAGTGTCGTGGCATCAGCCTAGCTCACAGAAACCTCAAACTCCTGGGCTCAAGCAATCCTCCTGCCTCAGCCTCCTGAGTAGGTGGAGCTACAGGTATTCACCACCATGCCCAGCTAATTTTTCTATATATTTTTAGTTGGCCAATTAATTTCTTTCTATTTTTTAGTAAAGATGGAGTCTCACTCTTGCTCAGACTGGCTTCAAACTCCTGACCTTGAGCAATCCACCCGCCTTGGCCTCCCAGAGGGCTAAGATTACAGGCGTGAGCCACTGCACCTGGCCGGTTGTACATTTTTATCATGTTTAAGAAACCCTTTCTTACCTCAAGGTCATGAATATATTCTGCTATATTCCCTCATAGATTTATCTTTAAAATTTAAATCTATAATCCTCCTAAAATTTATTTCCCTGAAGAATGTTGAAGTAGGCATCTTTATGTCTTTTTTTCACTCATATATTGTGGATATCTTTCCAGTCAACACATAATAACTTACCTCATTACTTTTGACAACTGCTGTTTGCCCAATTTGCCTTTGATGAACATTTTCCCTGTTTATTTGTCAATATAAATACTGCTATAATTAATAATCTTGTACATATATCTTTGAGTATTCATGCTAGTATTCTTTTTTTTTTTTTTTTTTTTTGAGACAGAGTCTCACTTTGGACAGAGTTGCCCAGGCTAAAGTGAGTGCTGTGGTGTCAGCCTAGCTCACAGCAACCTCGAACTCCTGGTCCTGCCTCAGCCTCCCGAGTAGCTGGGACTACAGGCATGCACCACCATGCCCGGCTAATATTTTGTATATATATTAGTTGGCCAATTAATTTCTTTCTATTTATAGTAGAGACGGGGTCTTGCTCTTGCTCAGGCTGGTTTCGAACTCCTGACCTCGAGCAATCCGCCCGCCTCGGCCTCCCAAAGTGCTAGGATTACAGGTGTGAGCCACCGCACGCGGCCCATGCTAGTATTCTATAGTTGAGGTTTCTAAATTGAGATTACTAGGTCAAAAGTGCACTAATTTAAAATTTTGATAGATACTTTCAAGTTTATTTTACTTCTATCAACAGTATAGTGCTCATTTCAGCAGCACATATACTAAAATTGGAACGATACAGAGATTAGCATGGCCCCTGCGCAAGGATGACACGCAAATTCGTGAATCGTTCCATAAAAAAAAAAAACCAGTATATAATGATCCTGAGTTATCCCATTCTTGATATCATAATATCAATCAGTTCAGCATTTGCCAATTTACTTTTTATATGGCATTTAAAAACTGCTAGACTAAGGAGGAGTCAAATTCTGTTTGACACAGTGGTGTCATGGTCAGAGATCAATGTCCAGGTTCCCGCGACAGCCCATCTCCCTCTATTTTGATAAGCAGTGAGTTTCTAAAATCTAAGAATTTGGTTAAACCTGTCTAGTATCAGGAGAATTGTATACCATTTTTTCTTGCTCTTCCTGTTTCCCCACAAGTTGACATTGAGTAGAAAGGGCTGAGGTGTGTGTTCATCTGGCTCTTCATTTCACCTCTCTTGTCTATTCTTTTTTTTTGAGACAGAGTCTCACTTTGTTGCCCAGGCTAGAGTGAGTGCTGTGGTGTCAGCCTAGCTCACAGCAACCTCAAACTCCTGGGCTCAAGCGATCCTCCTGCCTCAGCCTCCCGAGTAGCTGGGACTACAGGCATGTGCCACCATGCCTGGCTAACTTTTATATATATATATATATATATATATTAGTTGAACAATTAATTTCTTTCTACTTATAGTAGAGATAGTAGAGGGTCTCGCTCTTGCTCAGGCTGGTTTTGAACTCCTGGGCTCAAGCAATCAGCCCGCCTCGGCCTCCCAGAGTGCTAGGATTACAGGCGTGAGCCACCGCCCCCGGCCTCTTGTCTATTCTAATACCTGCTTCATCCCCAGTGATTCCCCAGGTATAAGGAAGCTTATGCTCTTGAAACTTACTGGTTTTCTTCACCTTGCCCTTGAAACGATCACAGGGACACTGCTTCTTTCGCAGTCCAGGCACTGTCATGAGTTTTCTTTTAGGGGCTCTTAGGAACAAATCTGAAATAACAGAGTTGCTACTTAGACAGGAGGGTTAATACATTTGAGAGTAGGGAGTAGGGCGGGGCTTTACTTGCCATTTTCCATGCCTTCCACTTCCTCTTTCATACTGCAGTGGGGTGGGAAAAGGGGTCTGCATGGAACCGTGGAGACATGTAGCTATTTGAACACCAGGATTTCTGAGTTGTTTTTCCTGACCTGTGTGGGCAAGGATTGGGTGGCAGGTTTGGAGGGGGCATCAGAATATCACTGGGGAGACCAAGGAATGAGAAGTAAGACCCAGGTGTCTGCCTTTTAGTGGCCGCTTTACCTTGGGCAAGCCACTTTGCCTCTCTGCTTTCAGTCTTTCCTGTGAATGAAATAAGGCTGAGAATAGGATCCTGGAAGCTTTTGGAAGGCCAGGAAAAAGTAAAAAGCCTTTTGGAAGCTAGCCCTGGGTTCTTTGGGGAAAGGGTAAGGGGGAGATGGCAGCCTGAGATTTGGCTAGCTCTCCCCTACACCTTGGAGGAGTCTAGTCCTTGCCTGAGACTCAGGAAGAAAGCAGGCGCTGCTGCTGCTACATGTGGTGGGCTGGTGGAGAGGGGAATGGGTGAGGTCGGCTGAGCTGTGGAGAGGGAAATGGGTGAAGTCAGCTGAGACATCTGCACTGGTCTCAGAGGTGCCCAAGGGAGAGAGCTGGGGTCATAGTGGTGCCATTGCTGTTGTTGATGCTAAGTTACTGACCTTTGCACTCACATTCTTGGCCGCCTTCCTGGAGCCACCTCCTAGAAGCCTGGCCTTGGTCCCAGTGGCCTCTGGCGACCCCTGTTGGAAGGAAACAGGTCACTTCCAGGGACTGGAAGGTGCCAACAGAAATGGTCCCCCCAGCATTGTGCTGCCTAGGTCAGCAAAGCTCCGTTTCTCCTCCTTTTTAACTTCTGGGATCTAATTTACTTCAAGAGAGGAATATTTTAATGGATAAGGAATTCGGGTTTAAAATCTGGCCTAGAGAAAGTTTAGCTGAAGGTAAATGGAGAAAGAATGGTTTCTAGATGGAAGAGAGGACAAAAAGTGGGGGTTTATCAAGATATCACACCCTCCCCCCATACTCTACATTAAAATCCTCGTGACTTAAGGAGTGAGAGCAAGGAGCGGATTATTCCGTGAACCAAGATTTTCACTTGACCTCCAACTTGCTATATTTGAATCCACAATCCCAGTTCAAGTATAAGAGGTTGGTATTTCTCTTTGTTCCTCTGGTACAAAAACATTCTTCTTTTGGCCTCTTTCCAAACCTGTGTTATTTTATGATTATATCTTATCTCTATTTTTTTTTTTTGATACTTAAAATATTTTTGTGACAACCAAGGATAATGGTTTGTAGACCTGAGATTCTCAAGTTCTGCAGTCCCTAATCCCCAGCCCACAGGCCACCACCAGTCCGTGACCTGTTAGGCACCAGGCCATACAGTAGGAGATGAGTGGGAGGTGAGTGAGCAAAGCTTCACCTGTATTTATAGTTGCTCCCCATGGCTTGCATCACTGCATAAGCTCCGCCTCCTGTCAGGTGAGTGGCGGCATTAGACTCTCATAAGAGCGCAAACCCTACCGTAAACTGCTCACGAGAGGGATCTAGGGATCACGCTCCTTATGAGATTCCAGTGCCCGATGATCTGAGGTGGAGCTGGGGCGGTGATGCTAGCACTGGGGAGCGGCTGCAAATACAGGTGATCATTAGCAGAGAGGTTTGACTGCACAATACATGTGATGCACTTGAATCATCCCCAAACCAGCCCTCCTGCCCTTGTCTGTGGAAAAATTGTCTTCCATGAAACTGGTCCCTGGTACCAAAAAGGTTGGAGACCGCTGCTCAAGTTAGAACTGGGCCCACATGACACCTCCTCTCTGTAGCAGTTTCTGGTATTTCCTGTCAGAATTAATTATGCCTTCACATAGTTCTCATTGTATTCGAATGCAGTTCTATTATTGCACAGTTTGTTGTTGGAAATATGTTATGGATTGAATTGTGTCCCCCAAAATTCACATGTTGGAGCCCTAATCCCCAGTACCTCAGAATGACTATATTTGCAGACAGGGCCTTTAAAGAGCTGATTAAGTTGAAATGAGGCTGTTATGTGTGTCCTAATCCAGTCTGATTGGTGTCTGTTTAAGAAGATGACATTGGCCACATAAAAAGACCCCGGGGATGTGTGTGCACAGAACAACAACCATTTGAGGACAAAAGAAGGCAGCTATTTTGGACTAAATGTGTCCCCCCCCCAAATCCATATGTTGAAATCCTAACCCCTAATGTGATAGCATTAGGAGGTGGGACCTTTGGGAGGTAATTAGGTCATGTAGGTGGAACTGTCATCAATGGGATTTGTGCTTTTATAAAAGGGACCCTAGAGAGCTCTGTTTCTACCATATGATGATCACAAGGAGAAGTCACCTGTCTACAACCTAGAAGAGGACCTTTGCCAGAACCCAGCCATCCTGATTTTGGATATCCAGCCTGCAGAACTGTGAGAAATAAATTTCTGCTCTTTCTAAGCTATCCAGTCTATGTTACTTAATTATAGCCACCCAAACTCAGACAACGGCCATTTGCAAGCTAAGGAGAGAGGCCTCAGAAGAAACCAAACCTGCTGACGTCTTGATCATGGATTTCCAGACTCCAGAACTGTGAGAAATTAAATTTCTGTTGTTTACGCCACCCGGTCTGTGATGTTTTGTTATGCTAGCCCTAGCTAATCTTTCTCCTTCATTAGACTGAACCAATAGTGTGGTAGTCATTCAGCTACATGGTTCCTGGCACATGGTAGGTGTTTAGTAAATGTTTGTTCATTAAGTGGATGGACAAGTTGTTTTGAGAGGGCCCTTAGAGATCATCTGATTTGATTCAGGTTTCTTATTTCCCAGACTTGTGCCCTTTCTGCCACACAGATGGAGGGTGTTGCATCATTTCCCCAAGTGTTAGTTTTCAAATGTCCTCATGTGCTATCAAAGTAATTTAAATGGGAGTAGCCCCTACCATCTAAACTTTTCTAACATTTTTACTCTTGCCTGACCTCTGTTCCTAGTTCCAGTGAAATACCACAGAATATTACAGCCAGAAGGAATCTTGGAGATTATTTAGTTGAATGTCTCAGTTGAGAAGTTTTTTTTTTTTTACTCTAAATGTAATGTATTAATAATATAACAGTATTGGAGAAAAAAATTTTTTTTGTTGCCTAGGCTAGAGTGCAGTGGCATCATCATAGCTCACTGTAACCTCAAACTCCTGGGCTCAAGCGATCCTACTGCCTCAGCCTCATGAGTGACTGGGACTAATTTATTTTAGATTTTGTAGAGACAGGGTCTCACTCTGTTTCCCAGGCTGTTCTCGAACTCCTGGCCTCAAGGGATCCTCCTGCCTTAGCCTCCCAAAGTGCTAGGATTACAGGCATGAGCAGCAGTGCCTGGCCTGTATTAGAGAACATTTTGAAAGTACAGAGAACTCATTATTTTTACCAACTGTTGATATTTTGATGTATTTCTACCTACATATTGTTTTCTTTATATGGTGATAACCATAGTATGTGAACAGATTTCTACCTTTTCCCCCACTTTATAAGAATGGTGCTATGTCATCTTTATAACATTTTTAATGACTGCATAATATTCTCAACAATTATATGTGTTCCAAATTATTTATTCTTCCATTGCTGAATATTTAGAATGTTTTATTTTTAGATATTGATAAGTTTTTTGTTATTATAACTCTTTTTCAAGTTTTGGGTTATTTTCTTTTTTCTTTTTTGAGACAGAGTCTTGCTTTGTTGCCCAGGCAAGAGTGAGCTCCATGGTGTCAGCCTAGCTCACAGCAACCTCAAATTGCTAGGCTCAAGCAATCCTCCTGCCTCAGCCTCCCGAGTAGCTGGGACTACAGGCATGTGCCACCATGCCCGGCTAATTTTTTCTCTATATATTAGTTGGCCAATTAGTTTCTTTCTATTTGTAGTAGAGACGGGGTCTCGCTCTTGCTCAGGCTGGTTTCGAACTCCTGACCTCGAGCAATCCACCCGCCTTGGCCTCCCAGAGTGCTAGGATTACAGGCGTGAGCCACCGCACCCGGCCTTGGGTTATTTTCTTGATAGAGAGTTCCCAAAGTGGAATTAGTGGGTCAGAAGTTAAGAGCAGCACACAGTGGGTTGAGCTTCCTCCACTACCTCTGCTGCAGATGGGCCAAAGTGGGAGCTGAGAATCTGCATGCTTTTGTTCACCTGAAGGACAGAGACTGCTGTCACTGCCAAGAAAGGGAAGTGTGAGCAGCTTGTGTGCCCACAGCTGACTGCCTAATCTTGTCAAGATGGTCCCACCCCTCCTGTCACAGGCTTACAGTGCCCTTTTCCTGCCTGAGCATTCTTCTGTAGCAGATCACCCCACCCCTCACTATCACAGCCATCACATGAACTTCGAGAGGCTCGAGGGCAAGTTTGCCAGCCCCGTCTCAGTCTGGTGCACCTAGGACTCAAGCACACTATCCAGGGGCCTGAGAACAGGTGATTACCTAACCTAGTCCACTACCGCTGTCATCTAAACACTCTCCCAGAGGTCTGAGATCCAATAGACCTGAATTGCCAGCAACAGCACAGTGGGTATCTACTGGCAGGAGCTGAAACACAGTGTACCTCTCCGTCTCTAACTAAGCAGCAGAGTTCCCAGCAGAGGAGAACAGGTGAACTACAAAGCTATCTCTTTTGGGCTGAGAGAATAGGTTCCAGGTGAAAAGGAACCAGTATAAGAACTCTCCAAGCATGAAAAAATGGGCTGTTTTGACATCCTCAAAAGAATCATACTAGCTCTCCAGCAATGGACTCCAACCAAAAGGAAATTTTTGAAATATCAGATATGGAATTCAAAATATGGATCATAAGTAAGTCCAATGGGATTGATGAGAAAGTTGAAAACTGACACAAAGAAACAAAAAAATAAATAAATAAATAATGCAGGATGAAAAATTCACTAACGAGATAATTTAAGAAGAAACATAAAAGAACTTCTAGAAATAAAAGAGTCATTTAGGGAACTTTAAAATCTAGCAGAACATTTTAACAACAGACTAGACCAAGCAGAAGACAGAATTTCAGAGCTTTAAGACAAGGCTTGTGAATTAACCCAGTCAGTCCAAAATGAAGAGAAAAGAATCAAGAAGAATGAACAAAGTCTCTGAGAAATATGGGATTATGTAAAGCACACAAATATAAGAATCATAGGTATCCCTGAGGGACAAAAGGAAAAACAAAAAGCATGGAAAACCTATCTGAGGGGAATAATGGAGAAATGGAAAACTTCCCTGGTATTGGTAGAGATTTATTTATTTATTTATTTTAGAGACAGGGTCTTGCTCTGTTGTCCAGAGCTGGAGTGCAGTGGTGCAATCATAGCTCACTGTAACCTCCAACTCTTGGACCCAAGTAATCCTCCTGCCTTAGCCTACCCAGTAGCTAGGACTACAGGCATGTGCCACTATGCCTGGCTAATTTTTAATTTTTTTGTAGAGATGAGGTCTCACTATGTTTCTGGTTTCAAACTCCTGGCTTCAAGTGATCCTCCCAGCCTCCCAAAGTGCTGGGATTATAGGTGTGAGCCAACATGCCCAGGCCAAGATTTAGATATCCAGATACAAGAAGGTCATTGAACACCTGGAAGATTCATGGCAAAGAGGACATGACCAAGGCACATAGTTATCAGTCTGGCCAAAGTTACAGTGAAGGAGAAAATGCTGCAAACTGCGAGATGAAAATGTCAAGTAATTTACAAAGGAAAACCCATCAAACTAA